AGGGATGCCAGTTAGGAGGCTGTCACAGTGGACAGGGAGAGATGATGGCATGGACTTGAGAGATAACAATGGAGATACATGGTTATGAAGTCTGGAATTTGCTGATCAAAAGTGGGTTGTGAAGTGAAATGCACAACCGTACCCCGAGAAGCAGCAATACCAGAGATGGAGGCAGAGATGAGGGCATGGAGAGAGGGAGCCACTGAGGACTCTAGACTCATGGAAAGAGAGGGACTGGGTGCTGGTGCCAGGGGGCAGGCTTGCAGAATGTGTCCTTTGTTTGTTAAAATTATTATATATCCCTGAGTGTGTTTGTGTACATCTCCCCACCCCCCAAAAAAGAAAAACAGAGGGAGTGAAAGCAAATACTGTTGAATGATGATGCACAGAGGAGATTGTAATCATTGCAATGAAACGAAGGTGTAAAGCCGATGGTCTCCTATGTAAACTATCACTCAGCTCACACACACACAAAAAAAGTGAGTTGTGAGGAAAAGGAGTCAAGGGTGATTTAAAGGTTTTGGCCTGAACAACTGGAAAAGTGGAGTTGCCACTTACCAAGAAGGGAAAGACTGCTGATGTGTAGATTTGGGAGGGAAAAATGCATTTGGTTTTGGACATTAATTTGACATGCCTGTTAGACATCTGGGTGGAAATTATAAATAAGCTGTTGAATATTGAATATGGGTTTTCTCATTATGTTACTTTTTTTTAAATATATATTTTACATTGTCTTATTTATTTCTCATTAGCTTACTTCAGCAGGTCTAAGATTGTGACAAGAGTGTGATGGAAGGTGACTTTTTGGTGTATGCAGCTAGATGGATGGAGATACCAGTCCCTCAGATAACACCCCACCAGGATGGCTTCTGCTTTAAAGACAGAAGAGAGAAGTCAGCACAGATTAAAGATGTTGGAGACAGAGAAACTGAGATCAGGTCCCAAACAGCAGAGGAGAGATGCGGTCCTTTTTCTCCGGGAAAGGAGAGAGGCAAGGATGGGATCGAGGAAGGTGGACTTCCAATCCTCTAACATTTGAGGAGTAACAAGAAGAAAAATGAATTCTCTCATCTTTACCCATTGAGATTTGCAGTTGTTGGGCAGTATAGGAGTCCTGGCGTGACACTGTAATGTAAGCAGTGGACTGCTCACCGCATTGGTGGTGGTTCAAACGAACCAGCGGTGCCTTAAAAACCCTATATAAGGTGCAGACCTGACAGCACTTAACAATAGGTTCAGAGGGGTCCTGGTGTGGTACTGTAGGATAAATACTAAGATGCGGAAGTATTATATGTTTAAGTGATTTTTTTTTTTTTTTAATATATATAATGGGTTAATAGGAAACCCTATACAGGGTCACTATGAGATGGAACCAACTCCATGGCACCTAACAGTAACAACTGGGCTAATGAAATATATTATTAAATTTAATTTCATTTGACTTTTGAAACTATGACAAAATTTTTTAATCACAACATATGGCTTGGATTCTATTTCCATCAATCAGCTCTGGTTTAGAAAGAAATTCAGAATAGTGTTCCAAGATATGACATCATTCAACGACTTGAACTGCAGATGGAGCCTTTGTTTCCAACCCAGTAATGAGGCAGGCGACTTGCATCAGCCGCTTTCATTTTCAGAGGCTTCGGGTGACTCTAAGCCTCCACTCCGGCCCGCCACCTATAGAACTACAAGACCCAGCGTGCACTGCGTGGGCTGGGGCGGAGTCTGGGAAGAGTGGGGTCGTGGTTGTTACGTGCAGTGGAGTCGGTTCGCAGTCAAAGCGACTCTGTATAGGGTTTCCTAGGAGCTGTTGGTAAGTTTGAACCACCGCTCTTGAGATCTAGTAACCCAGTGCTTTATCCTACAGCGCCATACCAGGACTTCTGGGAAGCACCGCCGCCCCTTTGTGACATCACGTCCACCCGGGCTCCGCCTCCTGCTCATTCCCTCCGTGGGTTTGCGTCTTGAAGGTGGGAGGGGTGCGCAGGCGGTGTGGGGCGGTCACGGGGTGAGAAGATGAGGGACCCCGGGGCTGGGCCCCAGGTTTTTTACTCTTTTGGCCCTATTTTATGTGGGAAGAGGTTTGGACCTTCCCTGACGCGTATCACAAGGGGAAACTGTCGTCACAGGCCCCGTGTCACTGTCCGTGGCGGGAAGGGCTCTTGCTGCGGAGCGAGCCCAGGGAGGCGCTCCCGTTGTCCACACTCCGCGGACTGTGTCAGCACTAGGGTGTCCTGTCCTGTGGCCGGCAGATCAGTGTCCCAAGCTGGACCTCTAAAGCTGGCCAGAAGGAACCCTTTCCGGGGAGACTTGGAAAAGGGGCCAGATCTTTCTCTGAGCATGGCCTTTTCTCCCCCAGACAAGCGACTAGCTGTTCTCTGAGAAGGAAGTGGGTTGCAACTAATAAAAAATGCCTGGTTAACTGAGCTCTTGTTAAAGTTATTCATGGTCTAGAAGCTGATTCTAATTACACTGCACCCAGTATATCCAAGAATGAATTCTAACTGCGCTGCATGTGCATTCAGCATCAACCACTCGAATGAGTGACTTCAACTTGAGTCCACATGTCTTCTGGCAAGTTCTGCTTTGTTTGGCTGTTAGAGTTTGTGATGTGTGTTTGCCATTGGATTAGTTTTTAGGTTTATGAACCTTTTGATGAGACCGGAGAAACCAACCTTGGGGTCCAATGCTTTATCCTACTGCCCATGTTTTTGCTATTTTATTATGTTAAAAGATATTTTTGTGTATCTAGAAGTGCTTTTTTAAAATGTCTTTTAAGCATCAAAAAGTATACTATGCTATATACTAAGACAAACATGGACTCCTGGTGTGGCACTTTAGGATTAAACTGGACTTCCAAATCATAAGGTCAGCAGTTCAAACCCACCAGCTGCTCCTTGGAAACCTGGTGCTGGGTTGCTATGCGTCAGAATCTATTTGACTGCACTTTACAACAGGACAAACATTTGAGGTTAGATAGAAACAGTTCTTAACTGTTCTGACTTATGTACAAATTCAACTTAAAAAATAGATTTAGGAACAGAACTTATTCCTACTCCAAGGACTGCATATATTAATATGATATTTGCATAACATCCATATCACATATTTCCCAGAACATACAGTGGACATTAAGCAACACATGGCTGTATATGTACTTTCAATCACTGATCTGCTTTATCATTGCTCACCTCAGTGCAGATAGCGCACTGTAAAAACAGACTTCGGTATCAGGACTGACTGTGAGAGTTGAAAATGTAAAGGTAGACGTTTTGTAGCAAAAGGAGAGGAGTGGTTGACTTTGCAGTCCAGGAGTGGAGGTCCCTGGGACCATCACGGAAGAAGACTGGAGAGCGGGACCCTACCCAGAGAAACAGTGACGCCAGAGATGGAGGCAGAGACAATGACATGGAGAGATGGAGCAGCTGGGGACTTTAGACCCAGAGAGGGAGAGAGGCTGTGTGCTGAGGACCCCGGGGGGCAGGTTTGTTTGATGATGCATGAAGGGGATTGTAACCATGGCAATGAAACTATACGCAATAGGATGCATGTAAAGCTAATGTTCTCCCATGTAAACTGTCATATAATTCACAATAAAACATTTAAAAAGACAGACTTTGGAAACTCAGAGGGTCTTAATAACACATACCCATTTTACTTAGTAAAGCCTTTTTTTTTTGCTTGTTTTTTAAACCAGGTCCATCTCCCTATAAGCTCATCTTCCACTAAGAAGTTTTCCACACTATTGAGTCCAAATCAAGTCAGGATGATCCAGTGAGCATCAGTGGAGTCAAGAGTGGGAGAGTTTCCAGCAAAGACGTATCCTAGACCTCTTTCAGGTATGATCTGCTTAATGGTTATTCCTAATTTATTTACCGCCCTTCACCCCCAAGGAGCTCAAGTTCAATCAGTCAAGAAAGTTGTTAGATGTTCTTTTTTGTAATAGTAAACAGCACTGACATTATGCTCAGCGTTGTAGCAGTTGCTTTTCAGGGGTGATACTTAATCCTTACAATAACCCTAATGGATTAGATACTATTGTTTTAATAGGAGGAAATTTAGGCAATAAGAGGTTAAATAATTTATCCAAAATCGCATACTTGATTTGCTGCAAAGCCAGAATTCGATCCCAGAAAGGGTGACTCCAAAGCTTGCACTTTTTCTTTTTTTCCCCTTGAACATTTCATTGTGATTTGGATTAAAGTTTACAGAACACATTTGTACCCAATTCAACCATTTCTGCACACTTTTGTTCATGATATTAGTTGGAATCCCCTCAGTGTAGCACTGCTTTCCCACTTCCTCCTTGAAGTCATTGTTTCCAAAAACCCACAACTCCTTTCAGGAGGCGAAAGCTCTCTGGGGGTGAAAAATTACGTAGTTTTCTTTGGGCCCCAGTGCTGTGTAAGATGTTGCTAAGAGAACTTAAACTGCTATTTCTTGGTGGCATATCACTGTGGATTTACTAAGGGGAGAACCACTCTGCAGTGGGAAAAAGAAGAGAAAAATAAAATGCCTGAGAAAGGATACAAAAGGAAAACCTCTTTCCAGAAAGCTCACCAGCTGAGGGTGAACGTGAAGAAAGCAGGCAGGCAGTCAGTCCTGAGAAGCGCTGCTTCCTAATGAAAGTGGAGTAGTGATGAGACTTCCCTGCTGTGTGCTTTCATTCTGAGTAGTAGAGTCCCCTTCATTAGACATGTGTCAGATACGCAAGATTTAAAACAAAACCGGCAGCTTCAGGACATGGCCCTGTCTTCTGGGATTGGAATTCTGAGCATCTTTGATCTTTCGATGAAGATGAAAAGAAGGAAGGGACGTAGAAGGAGAAAATGATCCAGGGAGTTCTAGGTAGAGGAGCCACCGTGTGGACACCTCTGCACTACATTTCAAAGAAGGCTGAAGCACCTGATGCAAGTTTAGAGCATCTCCCATTGGTTTCCCGTCTGCACCTCTAATGGTTGTGGGTTTTGATCAGGGCCTCAGCACCAGCTCAGACCATGTGGACTGCGGATGAAATTGCTCAGCTGTGTTACACACACTATGGGACCAAGCTGCCCAAGCAAGGAAAGCCTGTGCCACACCGTGAGTGGACGTTTCTAGCAGCTGTGGTAAAGATACAGTCTACAGCTGATGACCAACACTGTGACTCACCTGACAAGCCCTTGAGAGGTTAGGCCTTTCGCCATGTTACACTAGCGCCCTGTCTCCCTGGGATGGTAGAATTACACATTACTATGTGGTTATGTGCCTAGGAGTCAGTTTTGACTCATAGGGACCCTATATAGGGTTTCCCAGACCATAAATCTTTATGGGAGCAGAAAACCTCATCCTTCTCCCACGGAACTGCTGGTAGTTTCAAACTGCTGACCATGAGATTAGCAGCCCAACTCGTAACCACTATGCTTTGTATACAATGCTATATAGGGTTGCTGTGAGTCGGAAATGATTCAATGGCACTTAATAGCAACAACATACCAGAACAGACAATGTGTCACTTAACGACAACAACATGAACAGAAGGAGCCCTGGTAATACAGTGAAATATGCGTGCTTCTTTACCAATGAGATGAAATATCTAAAAGCAGATCTAGTAATAAGGATGGTAATTTGGAATTACTGGTGAGACTAACCGTTCTGCTAACCACAAGGTCTGCAGACCAAACCTAACAACCAGTCCCTGGTTGGTTGGAGAAGGATGAGGCTTTCTGTTCCCATAAAGATTTCTAGCCTCAGCAACTCTACACCAGCATCACTGTGAGTTAGAGTCGACTCGATGGCAGTGGGTTTATAGTAGATCAGCGGAGGGCCAGTTGGAGGTTTGATTCCACCCAGTGGCATCTCAGAAGAAAGGCGTGGCAGTGTGCTGGGAAAAGATGACAGCCAATGAAAACCTGTGAGACACACTTCTACTCTAACATGCATGGGGTTGCCATAACTTGGAATCAGCTAGCAGTGGCTGGGGGCAGTAGTGGACAGTCGTGGGTACAGCATAAGCCATGATGTATCCTTATGGATACAGGGATGTCCTGACAGGGCTCTGGAGGTGGGAGACCCCATGTTGGAGCTGTTGTTCTAATTGAGAATCTTCTGGAGGAATGTACAAAATCCTAAAGACCAGGGACCATGTAGGCCATTCAAGAGCTCACTTACTGATTTGTTTTCTCCCCTCAGTGACAAAGGAAGTTGTCTCAATGGGAACAGGAACGAATTGCATTGGCCAATCCAAAATGAGGAAGAGCGGTAAGCATGGGAGAGTCTATATAAAACCAACTCAGGGGCCACTTAGCAGCATTGGTGTGGGTTCGTCATGCAGCCCCCTTCCCTCAAATCTAAAACTCCAAATGTTATTGTTTGGATCCGGGCTTCTTCAGGGATATTAGGTTTCTTGCGCCCAGGATGTTGTGTTTGGGGAAGAAGTGAGATGAGTGATGGCGATTGGAATGAATGGCATGAAAGAAAATACATATGCATTGTTAAATGCAAAACTGATTTGGTTTCTCAGCTTTCACTCAAATCACAATAAGAAGTTTTTAAACAAACAAACAAGCAGGATGGTATGTTTCTTGCCTCCTCCTCAGTTTGGGAATGGAGTGTTTGCCAGAACCGTGGTCAGCTTCAAGTCTGGAGGCAGCTCACAGTTGGGGATCGGTTGTATCTTCATGTGTCCTCCCAACACAGAGACATTGCTCTCCAACTCCTAGGATGTTTGGCAATGTCTGGAGACAGTTTTAGTTGTCACTATGGGCGTCTAGTAGATCTACTGGTGGCATGTAGTAGAGACCACGGGTACTGCTAAGGACAGCGGGTGTGCGCAGCACAGCCCCACCCCAGGTGCCCAGCCCACAGTGTCCAGAGCGCTGAGTTGAGCTGCCCTGCACTGCTGTAAAGGTGGTGGTATTTGTAACGGATTCTTTCTGACAAAAGCCCTCCAGGAGCTGCATGGCCATCCCGGGTGCCAGGACCATAGCTTTGTCCAGCTCCTGGGAACCAGGGCTTCTCCAGTCCCACGTGCCCTCACCTAGTGTCCTGTCTTTGTCACAGGAGACATCCTCAATGATAGCCACGCTGAGGTCATAGCCATGAGGAGTTTCCAGAGGTAAAGCCATTCCCCAAAGATTCCGATGCAATAAGTCTGGGCTGAGGGGGGCATCCCATAATATGCATTTCTAGCCCCTTTCCAGGTAACACTGATTACTACATCCTTCTCAGGACCACATTTGGAGGGGCAGTGGTCTACACCTTTGGTTCTCATGCCTTAGAATCTCCTGGAGGTCTCATAACACCCAGATCACTGAGCCCTCCCCAAGAGATTTGGGTTCAGTAACCCTGAGCAGTGGCTTTTCTAACAGATTCCCAGGTGATGCTAATGGTGCTAGTTCAGGAACCATAGGCTTTGAGAATTGCTGGTGTAGCTCATTCTTGTAATTCTAAATCACTACCAGTCCTAGACTCCTGATGTGGTGCTGTAGAATCAGTACTGGACCCTGAACCACAAGGTCAGAAGTTTAGATCTACCAGCTGCTCCTCGGAAACCCTATACAGGGTGGCTATGAGTCAGAACTGGCTCTACTGCACTTAACAACAACCAATCCTGCTGGACTGTAGTAACGCTTCCCTTCTTCCATATCACCCAGCTGGAGTTTCTTCTTTCCCAAAGGAATTCTGCTAACATCCTGTAACCCACTAGGTACCTTCTCCATCAGCTCCAATTGGCGGCCACCCTGGAAGAGGATGGCATCTTTCTCCCAGGAACTCAGACAGGCCGGTGGAAACTCAGACCAGACCTCCACTTTGTGTTTTTCTCCAGCCATACTCCCTGTAAGTGTGTTCCAATCTTTGGAATCATTGTCTGCTTTCTCGTGTTTGTCTTATGCACAGGTAAAATGTTTCTCAAGGAAAGAACCTCTGGAGCACACTTTTACCTGACTCACATGGGGTCGCCTGGAGTCAGAATCCTAGTGTAGGAATGTGTTCAGGTGTGGCTGCCTAAGGCAGGACCACCAGACCCAGCCTAAGGGGTCATTTCTAGGCTTTGCTTTTCTCTCTTGAAAATTGATAGTACTACCTTTTATAAATAATAAGGAACCCTGGTGGTACAGTGGGTTCAGCATTGGGCTGCTAACCAAAAGATCTGTGGTTCAAGCCCACCAGCCACTTCGTGGGGAGAAGTGGAGGCTGTCTGCTTCTGTAAAGCTGTGCAGCTCCAGAAATCCTGCGGAGTGGTTCCAGTCTGCCCTGTAGGCTCACTGTCACGAGGAATCGGCTTGATGACAGTGGGTTTGGTTTTGGATTTTCGAAACTCCCAGACGTTCCATGGGAGAAAGATGAGGCTTTCTGCTCCTGTAAAGATTTCCAGCCTCGGAAACCCTGTACAGGGTCACTGTGAGTCGGAACCAACTCCACAGCACATAACAACAACAAATAACAGCGTAAGGATGACAGCAATAGTTCCTCATCCTGAAAACTTTGAAATATGGGCAGAACATTGTCTTCTGAGGATTTAAGCTTTTAAAATACACATGTAATTACAGCAGAGATCTATAATTGCTATAATGAAGGAATAGCTGTTAAACTGAAAATGCTGACATAGTTTACGAAGGAGTCTGTGCTGTCGAATACCAGAAAAATGCAGTTAGGCAGGGCTCATCCATCCTGTGTTCTTAGCAGTAGGTGCCCTGATCCAAGAACCAAAGGATGTTCCTTCAATCTGTTTCTGAACCACCGTGCACACCAGAGTTGCCTGGGATCTTGTTAAGATGCAGGTTCAGACTTGGTAGATTGCAGGAGCCGCCTAAGAGTTTGCATTTCTAAGCAACTCCCCTGGGTGCTAGTGGTACTGGTCAGCAGACCACATTCTCAGTAGCCAGAGCCTGACCGTCCCCAGTCCCCAGTGATAAACGATGCATCCGGGATCCCATTAGCCTGATGGCCTTCCTAGCCTGGCTCCTCGGACCCGCGCAGATCTGTGAAATGAGTAGTGGCCCATCGCAAAATGAGACAAATAGGAAGTGTGTAGTGAGTTTTTTCAAAAAGCTAAGTTCTTGCAATTTAAAGTTTATGAGATTTTTATCTTTTTTTTTTTTTTACGCATGATGGTAATTGAGATTTTTAAGGGTCTTATTCAATGGAATAAAAAGTTGGCAACCCTATATTGATCTTAAAATTTAATGGGAATTTTACTGCTCTGTGAAATCACAGGGGCCCTGGTGGCACAGTGAGTTAAGTGCTGAGCTGCTAACTGAAAGGTCAGGGGTTCAAACCCACCAGTCGTGCTCCTCAGGAGAAAGATGAGGCAGTCTGCGTCTATCAAATTTACAGCCTCAGAAACCCAGTGGGGTAATTTCTGCTCTGGCTTGTTGGGTCACTGTCTGCCCAAATCCACTCAATAATGGCAGTAGATTTGGCTTTTAAGAGTTTTTTGGTGAAGTCACAATCTGGGCATCACTGATAGGACTCCCCTGAGTTTTGGGTAAGTTTTACGTGTGGCTTCTCTGCAGGAAGGATGCTGCCCAGAGAAGGGGACCAGCTAGCTCCCCTGGGATGCACTTCTCATCACTCATTACTGCGTCGGCTCCTGAGTTAGCTGCTTCAGGCTCTTACTTGTGACTTTTATTGACATGAGTCAGTTGTCAAGCTCATCCCTGGAGCCTACAGACCTAGCTTGACCCCTGGCGAATTCTCCGAAGTAGCTGTCAGCCTGTGGGGTCTCTGGAAGGCAGCCAGCCAGCCTCTCTGGCAGAGTACTCACCTCTTCATCTCTGCCCTTCCCACTTATACTTAGGTCGTAGAGGCTGCAGGTGTATGTGATTTGCACGCTTCCGAAAAGCAGTACATATGAGGCCATTGTTTGAAGTGGTTCCCTCTGCAGCAGCTTGCAGAACTTCTTACTGGACTTCGGTTTCCTTTGGCCCGTCTTAGTTCTCTAGAGCTGTGCTACCAGAAACGCCACAAGTGGGTGCCTTTAACAAACAGAGCTCTGTTTGCTCACCGTTCAGGGTGCCATGTCTAAGGGAAGGCTCTGGAGGAAGATTCTGCTCCTGGGCAATCTCCATGTGGCCCAGTGTGTCTGCCTTGTCTCTGCTTTACCACTCGCTCCTTCATCTCCTGTATAGCTCAGCAACTCACTACATCCAGTTGGCTCCATCGGTTCTGACTCATAGTGACTCTCGGGTGCAAGGCTATAAATCTTTATGGGAACAGATAGTCTCATCTTTCTTCGGGGCAGCTGGTGGGTTCGAACCTCCAAACTTGTTAGCAATTCAGTGCTTATCCTGCAGTGCCAACAAGACTCTTTTTCTGTCTCAGTAGAGATTAATTTAAGACACACCCTGTGCTAATCAAGTCACATTAAACATAACAAAGAAAGCTCATTTCCCTGTAGGATTATATGGGGGCACAGTTCAATCCTTAACAGTCCCTGTGGTTGGTAAGTGCCACTAAGTCTGTTCCGCACTCACAGGGCTCCTGTAAAGGGTTTTTTATGGATTTAAACCACAGACCTTGCAGTTAGCATTCCAGTGCTTATCTTACAGCACCACACCAGGACAGTGCCTGTAAAACTGGAGTAAGTCAGGAATCTCTAACCCAGGATGGTTAGGTCAGTTTGGAACCATTGGTTACATCATATACTACAGGACTTCAGACTGCCGTGAGGGTTTGTATTGTTTATCTGTTAAGATGAGGATCTTGTAAGCAATGTTTGCCAAACTCACTCAACCACAGAATAAACTATTCTTATTTTCCAAGTTGCCTTACGGGATAGCATTCACAGACTGCACCTGGGGAATGTTGCTCAGTCTAGCCACTGGACTCAGTGTAGGTGATTTTGCCTTCCAGGGGGACATTGGGCACTGTTTGGAGACATTTTTTATTGTCAGACTGAGGGAGTGTCTGTGGACATTCTAGCCAGAGATGCTGCTTAATAGCTTATTACTTTTTATGTACTGGACAATCGTCCACAACACAGTTATCTTTGTTGCTAAAATATTAATAGTACTGAAACTGAGAAATCCTAAACCAGGTATTCAGACTTCTGGGGAGCATTCTGTGATAACCAGGGCTTCTAAGAACTGGTCCATTCTGGTTGGACACCAGACACCCTACTGAGAACGTGTATCAGAAATATACATCCTTAACTGAGGTGGAACTGGGTTGAATGGTTCTTGGAGACATTTTAGCAACTGCTCTACCTCAGGCCAGCTGGGACAATAGAGCTGACTTTAATTTATGGCCAGAAAAACCCCATCCCATCGCCATCAAGTCAGTTCCGACCCATGGTGGTGGTTATGTGCCGTGGAGTCGATTCCGACTCATAGCAACCCTGTATAGGGTTTCTGAGGCTGTAAGTCATTATGGGAGCAGAAAGCCTCATCTTTCTCCCGTGGAACGGCTGGTAGTTTCGAACTGCTGATCTTGAGGTTAGCAGCCTGACTCGTAACCACTACTTTACCAGAGCTCCTTAATTCCAACTCACAGTGACCATATAAGGTAAGACAGAAGTGCCCCATGGAGATTTCAAGGCTGTAAATCTTAACAGAAGTAGACTGCCACATTTCCCTCCCACAGCAGGATGGTGGATTGAACTGCCGACCTTACTAAAGTGCTAGCCAAGTACTTTAACCACAGTGCCACCAGGGATTCTCTTTATTTTAAGGCAGAGGTTCTCAAATTTGAGCTTGTATCAATTAGAATCTTCTGGAGAATTTGCTAAAACACTGATAGTTGGTGTGCTGTAGGATAAGCACTGGATTGCTAACCACAAGGTCGGTGGTTCAAACCCACCAGCCCTTCTTCAGAAATCCTATAGAGTCTCTGAGTTGGAACCGACTCGACAGCACTTAACAACAGTGACAACTGTGGGTCCCAGAGGACCCCTGATGGCCCTGTGAGTTAAGCATTGGACTGCTAATTGCAAGTGGTTTCAAACCCACCAGCTGCTCCATGGGAGAGAGACGAGGCTGTCTGATTCTGTCAGATGTACCAGCTCAGAAACCCTAGAGGGTCACTGGGAGCCAGAATCAACTCAACAGCACTGGCTTTGCTGCGAGTCCCAAGAATTTGTATTTCCAGCCAGTTCCCAAAAAGTGCTGGGATTGATTGCTGTCCTGGAGGCCCAGCTTTGAAAATCACTGGTTTGAGGGTGTCTCTTGTCCTGTAGGTGGGGATGCCTCCATCATACCAATACATGAGTTTGAAGACCAGCCTTGCTGTCCTGTTAACAGAAATTGGGCCAAGAACACTTCTGTAGAGGTCAGTGGTCACCTGGAGACTCCTGAAAATAAAAGGAAATGTGAAGATCCCGGTGGTCCTGTCATCAAAAAGCTAGTGCTTGAGCCTGAAACTCCCACCAGGGAAGTCGCCAGTGTTGGGCCTCACCAGCCGAGTCTGCATAATCAGGGAAGTAGCCAGACCCCACCCACTGCTCCTGGCTCGAATCTTCCTGCAGAGGGACTGGCCAATGTGACCATAGTGACCGCAAGGGGTACTAAGGTGGTGGACGTTCATAGAACTGGAGCCAAAAGCGTGCCTGGGGAAGCTGGAGACTCCAGGGAAGCAGGGGCTGCGTATCACCAGGCCGGGTTGCTGCGAGTGAAGCCGGGCCGGGGAGACAGGACCAGCTCAATGTCCTGCAGTGACAAGCTGGCTCGGTGGAATGTCCTTGGATGCCAGGGAGCGCTGTTGATGCACTTCTTAGAACAGCCCATCTACTTGACAGCTGTGGTCATTGGGAAATGCCCTTACAGCCAAGAGGTCATGCAGAGAGCTTTGCTTGAAAGGTGAGAGGGCAGGGCGGGAGGTAGTTTGAGGGTGTCCAAGAGCCTTAAAGACACCTGTGCCTTTTCATCCTTAATTCCAGTGCTAGGCTTTACCCTAAGGAAACAATGGAGAAAGTACTCAAAACACTGAACTTTTTATATCGCTGGTGTTGTTGTTGTTGTTGTTACGTGCTGTGGATTCTGTTCCAACTCATAGCGACCCTGTACAGGGTTTCCGAGGCTGTAAGTCTTTACAGGAGCAGAACGCCTCATTTTTCTCCCGCAGAACAGCTGATAGAATTTCAAACTACCAGCTTTTTTTTTTTTTTTATAAATAGGAATAAGATAAAAAAGAGAAATGAAAAAGGAAACAAATTTTTCAGCAGTAGGAGTATTGTTCAGTGATTTTCATTAAAAATATTACTGGTGAGTATTGGCAGAAAAGAAGTAATTTGGAAACGCAATTTAGAAGATAAAGTGAGATCATTGGTCTGAAACTGTGTATTATTCGTAAGTGCCATCCAGTCGGTTCCAACTCAGAGTAGCCCCATGTAGAGTTTCTGAGGGAGTGACTGGTGAATTTGAACTGCTAATTTTGTGGTCAACAGTGCAGTGCTTATCCTACAGTGCCACACCAAAACCTATAAAGTACATAGGGATAAAAACCGTCTGGGAGGATATACCCTAAAGTATTAATAGTGATTGTGTCTGGGGTATGTGGCATGACTGCTAATGATCCTGGGGTTTATTTGGGGTGCTGAAGATGTTCTAACTGTAGAGTATGGTGATGTGAACGTACTAAAAATTATTTCATTACATACTCTAAATGGGTGAATTTTTTGGTATGTGAATTTTACCTCTAAAAAGATGCTTTTGGTTTATTGTTTGTAAAAAAAAAGGCTAAAGAAGGAAAATCAGCCCAGGCACAATGCTGGGTTATTTCTTGTGTTTTCTCTTCTGCAGCATTAAACTGCTTGCTGTTTGCTGAATTCTAGGCCAGTGTCATGTTGGCATCCATTCTGCATGAAAGATACAAGGGAAACTAACGTTTTATATTACAGGATAATTTTATTTCTGTGTGTTTGACGGATTCTCTGTGCAAAAATACAGCACCAAGCATCCTTCCCACGGTCTACTGTATTTCCCATCTGGTTTTCAGAATTCATTGCACTGGCCACACAAAACTCAAGACAGCGTACTCACAGTTACGGGGTTTCTTACGGAAGTTAACGGGTCACAATGCAGGGTCAGAAATGCTCAGGGCCTAGTTCCAGTCAGGACAGCCTTTCCTCTTCAGTGCCCACAGACAGGTCTCTTTCTAATCCTACAGTGTTACAAGACTTCTTTAGGGCTACTGATGAGTGCCCACAGAACACACCCCTCCACCACAAGCCTCGGCCTGAGGCACTTGGCTCTAGCTCCTAAGTGCGTGGAGGAACCCCACTCTCCGAGCAAGCTCTGGCTGTTGACTCTACTGCTACTGCTCCTCTGCCACTCCTCCAGGGCCACAGCTTTCTGTCCCTGTTCAGTGAACAGGGATGTCAGGGCCAAAGGACGGGCTCTACTCCTGGCTCTTCTCTGAAGGTAGCGAGAGCTCCCCTTCCTGCTTCTGAGATGGCTCAGAACACATTAGAGTTCCAACTTTGAAAAGTGACGGTTAACCCTGCTGACCACTCACAACTGAATCATATAGTCTTGTCAGACCTTCTCTTAGCTAGACCCATCATGGCCAAAACATTTGGTGGGAATTACAAAGACTAAGGCTGGAAGACACATTAAATAATTCACTACACCTCACCTAGAAAGCAGATGTCAGCAATTTGGTATTTCTTAAGGTTTTCAGATTTTCTAAATCCTATACCCTATCAAGGAGCTCTGGTAGCGTAGTGGTTACAAATCGGGCTGCGAACCTCTGGGTCAGCAGTTCGAAACTACCAGCTGTTCCGCGGGAGAAAGATGAGGCGTTCTGCTCCCGTAAAGATTTACAGCCTCGGAAACCCTGTACAGGGTCACTATGAGTCGGAACCGACTCCACGTCACATAACCACAACAACAACAACAACATACCCTATCAAAGGAGCTCTGGTAGCGTAGTGGTTACAAATTGGGCTGTGAACCTCAGGGATAGCAGTTCGAAACTACCAGCTGTTCTGTGGGAGAAAGATGAGGCGTTCTGTTCCTGTAAAGATTTACAGCCTCAGAAACCCTGTACAGGGTGGCTTTGAGTTGGAACCGACTCCACAGCACACAACAACAACAACAACATACCCTATCAAGAATTAAGAAAGGTTGGTGTCACTGCATTTGCTGATGGGTGGTGACTCAGTTCTAGACTTATCGCCTCAGAGTAATGCAAAGGACTCTTCCTCCAGCCAGCTTCTGGTGGCCTGCTCTCTGTCTGGTACACCCTCTTATAAAACCTTCTCCACAACAGATGAATAAACAGAACTTACTGTGTTTGAACTGCAAGGTCAGTTCAAGCTCACCAGCTGCTCCTTGGAAACCTTATATAGGGTCGCTGTGGGTGGGAATTGACTCGATGGCACTTAACAACAACAACATTGCCAATATCTGATTCCTAGTGTGGCACTGTAGGATAAGTACTGGGCTATGAACTACAAGTTTAGTGGTTCAAACCCACCAGCTGCTCCTCAGAAACTCTGTATAGGGTCACTCTGAGTCAGAACCTACTAGACAGCTCTTAACAACAACAAAAATGTCACTGTGAGTAATTTTATACTGTATGGGTATGAATCCCTGGAGTGTAACCAGATGGTTAAGAAATTTGAGTCCACCCAGACGTGCCTCAGAAGAAAGTCTGTGATCTACTGAAAACTCAGCCATGGACAGCCCTAAGGAGCACAGTTCTCCTCTGACACACATGGCCTCCATGAGTCAGAGTCCACTACAACTTTTTTGTTTATTTTGTTTTGTATGGATCTGCCGTGTCTCATTTTTACATTCATCAGTTGACACGCAATGACTTTTTTGCAGTAATACGAAGACTGTGTACTTGGTTTTAATATGGACAAATAAACCTGAATACCTCCTAAGGTCTTACTTTGCCTCATACTGTGCTTCTCTTGTTCACTATGAATGCATCAAAACTGAATGCATTTCCTATTATGTTTAGGTGTAAGAACGTCTCAGCTTTACCCAAAGGCTTTGGAGTTCAAGAGCTGAAAATACAGCAGTCAGAGTTACTGTTTGAACAGAGTCGCTACGCAGTGCAGGCGCACAGGGCTGACAGCGCAGGCCCACTTGTTCCTTGTAGAGCAGGTGAGTGTTCTGGTTGGCTTTCCCCATGGAACAGCCTGGCAGGCAGCTAGTATACCGCAGAGTGGTTAGTAGTCTGGGCTCAGGAGCCACCCACAGTGGGTCAGACCCCTGCTCTGCATGGCCTTGGACGCGTCAGCTTCTCCTGGCCTCCATTTCTTCATCTTCAGATAAATAAACAGAATGTCATCTTTCAGGGTTGTTAGGATTACACGAGAAATGACATTTCATGCATTTCCAGTGTCTCCGGCACATAATTACTACTCGATGGTTAGCCGCTAAAATGATCCTGATGAATCACAAGCTGCTTCAGGCTGTTGAACTGCGGATGCTAAGGAGTAGTAGTCACCATCTGTGACTTCATAGCCCGCTCTCCTGGGTCTGCAGAGGCAAACAAGTCTTTTAGCAGAACACCTCTGCCACTTCTTTTAAAGAAAGCTGAACCATTTTAACCTCAGAATTGTCTTTTCATAGCCATCAGCTGGAGTGCAGTTTCTGAGCAACCTCTGGATGTTACTGTCAATGGCTTCCCACAGGGCGCAACCAAGAAACGGATCAGCAGCCTTCAAGCCAGGTACCGCACAGTGAGGTGGGAGGCGATGCAGGCTGTGAGCTCACACCTCAGGACTCTAGTTCAGACTGTTTTCATCCCCGCAAAAGAAAGCCTACACCCCTTACCAAGGAGCCTTGGTGGGTTAGGCGCTGGGCTGCTAACTATAAGGTTGGAGGTTCAACTGCGGGAGAAAAATGAGTCTTGGAAAGCCTTGGAGCAGTTCCCCTGTGTTCAGTAGGGCCACTATGAGTTGAAATTGACTTGATCAATATTGTCACATTCCCTGGAGTTGGTTCCCATTGATAACAGTTTCCAAGTAGCAGCTGTTGAGTTTGAGCAACTGCCTTTTGGTTACCAATCCAGTGTTTATCCT